AGAAGGACAACTTCCTAAAATTGTTTTAAAGAGATTCTCCAATATATGGGTGAATGAATGATTTAATAAGGAAAATCTATGTATAGCTAGTAAGACACATGTTCCGATAAGTGCTAAGATTGTAACTATCAATTATGTATAAGTGTATTATATAAATGTACTACTATGTAATATTATTGATGAAAGCTTTATGAGAAAACCTCAGAAACAAGTAATGCACACAGTATACTTTTGTGCGAAGTTTCTTATGAGAATAAATTTGGTTGGCTGCTTGCCGTGTAGTTTGTTGCATTCATATGTTTTGATGGTTGTTCTTTTATTAAGGTTGAACCAGTGTAGATTGGATCAATACTAGTATCATGTGTATGTTTGTGGACAGCTGCTTGTGATTGCCGTTCGTCGACTTGAGTGTGGTTGATTGTGGTTGGTAGTAATTCTGAAGTGAAAAAAATGAGATAATTTTTGCATCTGTATTCGTTGTGTTTTACTGTAACTAGGAACACTTCCGGGGATCATTGAGTTAGTTGTGTTGCGTTTTGAAGTTATTTTTGGTAAACGTTGTGTTGATTAGTATATATCTAGAATATATAATGCAGTGAAATTCGTCTAGCTTCAATGTGAACATTTTTTCAAAAGAAATAATCAAACAAGAAGATACGAATTCATATGCTTAATAATCAAATATCATAGTTTGAATATTGAAAAAAGGAATAAACTACAGTATATGAAATCTTTCGCATAGTTAACAGAAAAATAAACATGAAAGTAACAATATTCAACGATTAACAAGATCTAATGATAGTTAACAAATATCATAGATAGACAACAAAAGAGAGAAAAGGAAAAATGCTCTTGAGTTTTTTCGATTGTTAGAAGTAATATTGTTTTCATTGATTGAATCGTTCCTGTATTGTTGTTCGAGTTGCTTCTGTGGTGAGTTGCATTCTGGTCAACATATCTCTTTTAGGCTTTTTGTGAATCAAAAGACTTTGTGATGTACGATTTAATATTGTACCAAGAATAAGTCGTGTATTTTTGAAGCGTAAGCTTGGATAAACATAGAATTTTCCCACATTCGACGATATTCTTTTTTGAAATTTAATAATGGTCCATTTTCGAATGTGTAATGAAGATAAATTTGATCTTCATGTTTATAATTTCTTCTGTTTTGAATTAAGTGTCCATTTGTTTGGACTTTGTATTTATTTTCTCTTCATAGTGGTTTGTAAAGTAATGTATTATGCAGTTGTTCATATGTTTCACCATCGAGTTCAGTCCACACATTCATTGCATCATGTTGAATAAAGAAATTTTTCATGTGTTTTTGTATAAATTTTGGTGGATAACTATTAACTAATAATATCATTTCTGCACTTCATCGTTCCATATCAAAATCTTCTACAGTTGAACAAAGACATGCTGCTCGAACTAACATTGTATAAATTATATTGGCATGAATATGTCGTGGATGATCAGATTCATAAGGTAGAATATGAGGTTCCCAAGTTGATTTATGATAAATAGTTGTTTTTAATTGTCCATTATTATTTTCAATACTAGCAGCAAGATATTCTAATGCTTGATTTATTGTAATAGTAATTTTAATGTTTGGATCTGTTTTCATTGTTTCATTAAGTTGTTGTAAAATTTCTTCTTTTGTTAAATTCGTAGTCATAAATACATCATCAATATATCTACAAAATATTAATAAAGTATCAATATAAAAGAATATAGAAATAATAATTTGAAACTTACCGGCCATAAATTTCATGATGTCTATTTTGATGTTGAATTCATTTTTGTTCCCATTCTAATATATATGTGTTGATGAGAACCATAGTAAATGGTGAACTCATAGCACCGCCTTTAATTTGTCGATAATATTTATTTTTGTAAGCAAATGTATTCGTATCTAAAACAACAGAGGCTAATTTAATGATAGTATCTATTTTGAGGTTTCCAATTTTGCCATTGACAGAATATTCTTGACAGAACCGTCTTAAAGCAGCAATATCACCATCTCGTGGTATTATTGTATATAAATCGGCCACGTCAAATGTAACAAATAATGTTCTTGAAGTGAGATAACCTTTTTCTGTATAGTATTTTAATTTTCGAATCAAATCGATGCTATTAATAAATGTTATATCTTTTGTCACATAATTATAAATTGGAGTGAGCAGTTGATCTAAAAACTTAATATTTGTCTTGCTGGTGCATTGATTGAAGCAACAATAGGTCGAACTGGTATTTCAGGCTAGAAAAGGAAATGCTTAAGAAATTATCTATGAAAAGTAATTATTTTACCTTATGAACTTTAAGATTGAAATAAATATCAGCTAATTCTAATGTTTTTAAATTAGGATACATTTGTTTATACTGTTCATTGGTAATTTCATTCCGTTCGAGTAAATGATCAAGTAATAATATTACTAAATGTAAATTATCGGATAATGTACAAATACCACTCGTGATTTCTTGATAAGCATTGGTTTTATTCATATAATTAGTAATTTTTTTTCTTCATATTCTTGTCAATCGATAAAGAAAAATAATTTACTTTTATCAGTTTGCCCAATAGCAATATTCGCTTTCCGTAATTATTGTCGCATTGATTTGATCTTTTTATAAATGTATCGAGCATTTCCTTCGAGTTTTTTAGGTAGTGGTTTGGTATATAGTTGTTCAAGTAAATGTTTAACTTCAGAAAAATATTCTGTTGCACGTGTATCATCTGTTGGAAACACATATTTAGTAAGATTTTTACAATTTTCATCGCGGAGTCGTTTGTATTCTTCATCAATAATTTTTTTTTATAGGTTTTTTTGTTAAAGAATCAACTTTGGCAAGGTGGAATAAATTTTAAACCTTTATTAATAATAAGTAATTGTTCATTGAATAATGGTATAAGAGCATTGGCAAAATATAAGCTAAGAAGTACATTGGGATGATTTCGAACATTTAATTTTGATTGGCTCCGACGCCATCGTTGTTCATTGTATCTTTTTGTGACGTCGGAGCTTCGTCGAAAAAAGACTTTAATTTTTGTTGTGTAATATAATCAGCTCTTTCAATCATATGTTTTTTACGTGCTTCAATAGCTTCCATTAATTGTTTGAACATATCAGAATTTGTATTATTTTTCTTTAATTTATCTGTAATAGTTATTAATTTTTGTTTTTCTTTTTTCGCTATTTTATTATATAATCGTACTTTGTCTTCACCAGCGGCTATACTTAATTCAAGGAAATCATATTTAAATCGACCAATTTTTTTAAACGATGTGCATTTAATATTGTTTGTTGTTTGTTATCATTATCATCAGTAGAAGATTGTTTTGATTCGTTAAGCATTTTGTCAATATTGTCAAGAGTATAATCGAGGAGATTAAATGCTGGTGGTAAACAGTTGGAATGGATACGATGTTTGAATATTTCAATTTGTTCTTCCATTTGTTTTTTACTTTGAATTGCTTTCCATATATTACGAATTGGACGAATTTGTTGTTTATTTGGTTTTAAATCATAAACTTGTTGTACTAAACGATGATCAGTTGAGTCTAATTTTAACATTTTTTTATTCTGTTCAAATTGTTGTTTTAATTTATGTTGACCTTTGCGAACAAGTGCTGTAACCATTGCTGATAATGTTGGAAAGTCTAATAAAGGACCCATTTCAGATAGACATTCAGGTAATGGTTGATTAAAAGCGAAATCCAAGTTAAATCAAGACAAACACAATCTTAATTGAATATCATATTTTGATTTGACGAAAGTTCAGCTTGATGCGCTTCTATCAGCTACTATCCTTGATTTATAAAAAAAAAGACAGATCTTAGTTCATACATTGTTGAGCTCGATCAAACTCGATCTGAACACGAACTCTGAAGTTTGAGCTTGATCGAGTTCGAGCTTTTAAGGTTTGAGCTCGATCGAGTTCTAGTATCTATTTTCGAGTTCGAGCTCAATCGAGTTTCCAAGTTCGAGTTCAAATCGAGTCGAGTCCAATATTTTCGAGCTCAAACAGTTTGGGTTTGGTACATGTCTACCAACCCCCACACGCACAGCTTCATGCCCACACCCTCAAGAATAGAACAGTGTTCGCTTTATTACATTTTTCGATGATTGGAAGAGTTGATGTTTCATGACTTGAAAAAAGGAAGAAAAAAACCGTCGGGATATCATGCTTTATTTCGTAATATGTTTTTAATTAAGTTACATAGGATGAAACAGTTCCCGGCAAGTTTTTGTTTCTGCGACATTTTAGAATATTGTTGAAACATGGAAGTACATACGATTCATCACAGTATAAAAGGGAGAAGCAATTTCAGTTTCGATATATACACACGAATATCAACTTGCTTCTGTCATTTGAATATTCTCTGTCGATTGTAGCAACTTTATCAAGTTATGGCACTATTTTTCACAGGTCTTTTCATGGTTCTTGTTTTGGTTACCAGTAGCATGGACGAAGATGCGTTGCGAGAGAAGCATCAGCTGAGTTGTGGTGTACCATGTTTTGTCGAAGGAAATACTTGTATAAATGGGGAGGTGTGCCGTAATGGTAGATGTTACTGTGGTGGAGATGGCGCATGCGCTGGAGTTCCATGTGCAACGCCTGGAAACAGATGCATCTTCGGGCTTGGCACGTGCAAAAGATGTTCGAATGGAAATTTTTGCCAGAAATAACCAGCCAAAGTCTCGTTACTTTATATTCTAATTTCATCGTTTGTGACTTTTTCATTATTTATATATATGCTTCCTATTATCTTTTTATTATCATGTTATTTAACCAGCTTTCTAATAAAAAGGAATCGATGACGAATAAAATGAATATATTATAAAACTTGTCAGATGGGCTTAACAAAATGATGTGCGCATTTTTCTTTAGCTCAGTATCGATCAATATTAAGATAAGTTAACAAACAATAGGTAGAGCTTTGTTGATACAACAGTGATCCTAATTGGAAATTAGATGCCACTTTTTTGCGTTTATTATCAGAGATTCAAAAAATGTTCATTTTATATGGTCTTTCTTTTAATATTGATGGGATTTCATGTGCTTTAATAAAGGTATATATATATATATCCTATTCTTATTCTTACTATAAATTTACGCTTTCATGCTACTACATCTTCTCGCAGAGTATCAGTATGGCTAGGAAAAATATCGTACCAGATTGATGCATAATAAGAAGCAATATATGGGGGTGTGCGTGTGGACGTGGGTGTGAGTGTGAGTGGGGTGTTGGTGTGGGTGTGGGGTGTGGATATGGGTGTGGTTGTGGGTGTGGTGTGTGGATGTGGGTGTGAATTTAATTTTAAAAGGGAATTAACAATGATTTAAAGAAATAGAGTAAGAACCGAATAAGCGATGAATAAAGAAATAAATAAATAGACAGGTGAATAAATATATATTAATGATAAATAAAATAAACTTTGTTTTTTTAGTATTTCTGGTTTTATATTAGTTTTTTTGTAATTTTTAAGTTTTGAAAATGTTTTTCAGTGTTTTTTCATCCGAAAAAATGTAAATGAAATATACTAGTTTTGTATGAGTTGAAAAATAAACCCTTTTTTTTTAGAACTTTTTAAAGAGTGAATTGAAAAAGCTGAATACTTTTTATAATACGTTTTAGGAATGAAAATAAAGCTTGATTTTCTGTAAGAGAATTAAGTTTCGAACAAAAAATTCAATTGGGAGAATAAATTTAGTTATAAATATTGAATTATTTGTTGAGTATGAGAGAAATGAATTTCTTTTTATGAAATGAAATGTATTGATTTAGTGGAAGAAAAAATATGGACTATTTGTATTAAAGATGAATTTTAGAGTGAATACATGGAATATATCTTTTTTGTTTTTTACTAAGAAAAAATCTTAAGTTTTTTTGAGGTAAGAAAAATTGATTTAATTCAAAGTGAAATTTGTTTTAGAGTAGAAGGAAAAATAAGAAGACTTTGTTGGTGAGAAAAAAGTGATAGATAAATATATGAACGAGAGTTTTTTGAATAATATAAGAAGTTTTTTTTGTCTTTTTGATTTATTTTTAGTTTAACAAAAAATTATACGATACATGAAATATAATAAATTTGTAGAGCTTCATAAGCGACGCGTTTCGAATTTTCTTCAGGCTATGAATGACTATCTGCTTCTCTTTCCTTTCCTTTTATGTTACTCTCGTTCCTATCTTCTACTCTCGTTCAATAGGAATTTTTTCTTTTCTTAATGGGGGCCACTATTCTCATTCGAGGGGGATAGATGTCGTTCTTTTTCTTCTTTTTCTATCTTTTCTTAGTCCATTCTTAGTCTCTTCTATCACTCAAGGCAATCTCGATGGTGTAGTTGCGGAAAAGGGAGTAACTCAATGGGAACTAATTCTCAACCCCTATCACAATAAAATTATACGCTTTTACAAAATATTAAATACAAAACGAAAAACAACAAAACAAAAAACAAGAAAATAAAACGAAGAACTAAAAACAATATCGACCAGATCCTTTGTTCTTGTCACTGTTCGTATCAATCGAACGATAATGTAAAACAAAAAAAGAGGGGGGAAGGGGTCTATCTCTCACTATTCTATTCCTTTTCTAACTCCTCTACTAATGCTCTTATTGCTGACTTAGGGGGTTTCTTATGGACTAATACTTTCTTTAGATTATCTGCTAATCTATGGGCAAAGATAACTGGGATATCACTCAGTGGGGTTTCCTCAAAAATCTCATTCCAAATTTGGTGAAATCATGACCCGAAACGTGCTAAATTTTGGGTATAGGTAAAATGGATCATAATATCTCTGCTAAAGTCGATCCCGGGTTTATCCTTTTTATTCCATTCTACATCTAACAATGGAAGGTCGTCAACTGATAGTGAAGGAGATTGACCATATTCTGGTCAAATGAAAGCTCTTACTGCCAAACTAACAAATTTAAAATGTTACGTGCCCATAGCTTACATAGAGCAAGTTACTTAAATTTCAAGGTATGTGAAATTTAGGTATATAAAAATAGATGATCATAAAAAATATTGATACTTATGTTTTTCTTAGAATTAATTTTTTTTATCATTCAATAAGTTTTTTGAATCTTTCTTGTGAATGTTAGATACATTTGATCTGCACTGATTCTAATGTTATCTAAAAGTTTAATCAAATAGAACTGGAAAAAATCACATACATCGCATATCTGAATTGAACCGCACATAAGAACACGAAAGGATAAATGCATTGATGCATCACTTAGTGGTCTATTGATTATATCTTTACTATTGGTGTTAAGAAATCACCATTACGTAAAGTTTTCGGAAGCATTGTTATTAATATTTCGTCATAGTTATCACATCTAAAAGTCTAAATACCGTCTCAATCAGATGAATTTAGTCAACGTTGCAAAACATCTTCTATATTTGGCTGAAACTAATTTTGGCTCTGCAAATGATGTAACAAGTTCCAATGAAATGCTTGCTTCGCAACAATTATTCGAAGTTCTAAAGACTTATAAAAACAATTACTTTAGTGAATTTTATACTTATGAAACTCTAGAATTCCATGATGAAGATGATGATTATGTCAAGAATCAGTATATGGATATTAGTAGTAGTTTTACGGTGGAGGAGATGGAAAATATTATTGAATGGATCGATGAAGATCCGAATTATAGCTTTTCAGCCATTAAACATAGGTTTCGAGAAATCAAATCCATGTGTTACATTTCCAGGTTTAGAGAATATATCGAACGGAATGGAACAAAATTTGAAAAACTGAAAAAAAATCAAAGAATTTATGTTTAATGAATTTTATTTAAAAAGAGCAATTGAAAAAGAAGCAGTTCACGATACTGACTTAGAACTTTTTGCACTTCAAAAGGCAAAAGAATTAGGGTGAAACAGTTTTAAAGCTAGTGCAACATTTATCAAATCATTTAAGAAGAATAATCGAATATCATCAAGAAGATACAACAAGCTTATTACTCGAACTACATTGAATAGAAAAGTTTGCAGTATGAATGGTATAGAGATTTATTTGATGTTTAAATAAGTTTGTTTTAATATGATACCTATTTATATTGTAGATGCTCAAAAATGGATAGACAGCAAAAGATATTTAATTTCAAATTATTTATCGTATGAAATTTTAAATAGTAACCATTGTTCATTTCAACAGGAATATGTTTCTCCAAGAACACTTTCTTTCACTGTTGAAAGAACAACAGAAGTAGTTGTTAAGAAAAAGAATAGTATAACACATTCGTATACAGTCCAGCCTATTACATCAGCTGATGGTCAATTATTAGGCAAGTTTATGCTTATTCTTCAAGAAAAAGAAAATGAATTCGACAAAATAGTGCAAAAAAACATGATCATTTCACCAAATGTTATAGTACAAGCTTGAAAATCTGGGAAAAGCAGCATCGAAAAGCACCGCAT